CATAAATTTCGCAAAATTTTATTAATTTAAGTGTATTTGTGATATTAGATAAACTTGTTTCTCATACCATATATTATATATATGGAATTTCATATAGTTTAAATGAATTTTCGTGAAGTTGTACTTAAAAAACTAAATTCTGGATACTTATGACGACCACTGTAATGTTATTGAATTTACAATTTTATTTTTTGTGTGATGTAAAACATTTGACAGCCACTGTATAGTGAAATCTGAATTGAATGCTTTGGGATCTTATTCTATGATTAAAAATAATTATGTCTATCTAAACAAAGTGCGATTACTGACTCGGATGGTATACTATATCACAATAAAACGAACACTGGTGTGCAACTTTCGTTAAAGCTGATGGATAATTTTGGAGGGATGCTGGCGTGTTCTTTCTCGGAGCGGAGTACAAACATGGGTCGAAGCTTCTCGTACGAAATTACTATTTACAGTTGTTCGAACTAATCGATAAGAATCGTAAACATTGGTTGCATGATTACCGGTACACCTGGTATCGGAAAGACATGCTTTGGTTTATTCTTTTCTACGGTACAATGAGAAGAATAAAGAAGGTAAAGAGCTCACGTTTGAATTAATCGGGATCTTGCTAGAAAAATGGGCCCAATACCCATCTAGAGTTGCAAAGGGGTGGTACGTTTAGGGTGTGGTATCTGAATAATTACTCTGAGGTGAGCGGAAGACATATCAAGGAGCTGGAATTTAACTGATTTATGACGCTGAAAGAAGCACGTAAGGAATATTATAACAGGCCGAAATCAAAAAACATTCGCATCGACTGATGTATTTAGCCTTGATAACAACATTTTGGCTTTATACCAAATCACCATATCAACAAAGCACGGCATAAAGGTAGGGGTTAACGGACAGGTTGAATTTATATTTTGTTGGTTATCACATGTATCGCTAACTCATGTTGCATAAGTGAAGGATTTGAAGATCTCAAACGCTTTCTCGGGTGGGGATATTGCATGAATAATATTTACTTATACTTCGTTGTGCCGTCAAACATCTTCGAAAAATTTCCTTTTCTAAGATCCAAGTCCGTCAAAAATCAGGACAGTCAAAAAATTCCGAGATGGATCAACAATATGCATCGAAGATTAACATGGATTTGCGCCATTATACAGATTCTGATAGTGATGTGATGTTAGAGGAAGTAGGGAAGCGCGGGTATGCTTATTTGTGCGTGTAATACAAACCCGAAAATGGATATATATAACCTTGTTCTCGCTCTAATCCTAACCCTAACCCTAGCTTGTAATATCTATAATGGTATAAATGTATTTGTCATGTGTTTTGTATTACATGCACAAATAAGTAAAACTGGAAAGCGCTAGAGGAAGGAGGGAGTAAGAAAAAAAACGTAAAAAAGCAAAAAAGTAATTAATAGAATAAATTAATATAGTCATGTTGTGCGGATTGGTGATGTGTACTCTAAATCTATTTATAATAATTACAAATCCCTTATCGATATGCTCATATTTATCCTGATTTAGAACTGTTTGTGGATGTTGTAAATTTACTTTGAGTTATACGTCTATTATTATTTGATTTACGAGACATTTTTCATTTTCCGATCAATTTTTTACACGAACTTTGCATGGAAACATCTTCGCCGATATTGGTCCGTTGATTGTAATCCGGATACCAAAATGTTTATCTTGGTTAGGCGAATCGAACGAATCCGAGTTCGAAAGATCCGACCATAGATTGGTGAGATATTAACATTCAACGATGACTCACAGATCCGGCTATCATTTCGCAATCCCAGGAATTATAAAGAAATTTGATTGTATTTTAATAAGAATAAATGTATTTGTACTTATTTGTAACAACCGCGCCGCGTTTTAATTGGCTAATTAGTACCTGAGTTAGGGTAGGGTTAAGATTCTGTATATGTGATTGGTTAATACATATATTGAAGTTGTTACATGTAAAAGTTGTTAAATTAGATTGATCCTTATATAATTGACAAATATAGATATATATTCATATAATAAACGATCGAAATAACAAAAATAGCAAAATATAGTGAAATTAAAAATTATTTTCTATAATGAAAATTTTTTCTTTTATTAAATATTTTTTAATAACTATAATTTAACTATATTTATAAGATTTAATTTAAAGTTATTTAATAACTAGTAAAGTCATCGTAAAAAATTTTATAAAATAAAATCTAAAAATATAAAAAAATATAGGTTAAAATATAAAAATAAGAAATAATTTTTGCACTTTGTGTATCTGGTTAATATCAATTAACATTAAAGATCATTTAAAATCAAGATTAGAGTTAGATTTAGATTCAAATTTACAGTCAAAGTCATTTACAACGGCCGCATTGGATTGGCACTTTTGGACCGGTATAGAGGGATTTTTTAAATCGTAATAATCGGGATACCGATACGGTATAAGCCGAATTCGATGTATACAGCGCCGTTGTAAAGGACTTTGACTGTATATGTAAAATTGTCTTATTCACATTTAATTAGTGTATCAAGTTATTTTCAATATAACAAAGTATACAATTAATGAAGTTTGAAATACAATTAATAGTATTTTATATTTTTTAAAAAAAATAAAACCCTATATATACAAAATTAATAACTTAATAAATATGGTGCATAAAATCTAAAGTCATCAAATGTTTGTATTTTATAAAATGAATAAACTTCTTTACTAAGAATTAAATACAAAATTTAATCCATGAATATGATAGAATATGCCTTTTCTGAGCATATTCATGGATTAAATTTTGTATTTACTTCTTTGTAAAGAAGTTTATGCATTTATAAAATACAAACGTTTGATGACTTTAGAGTTTATGCACCATATGCAAATTAATATATACACTTTTACAATAAATTTTTTCTATTGAAGCTTCAATTTTATTAAGAAATATTTTTATTTTTAGGAATTTGTTAAATTTGTTCCATGCATTTTCCACACTTTTTGTAACCAATAAGAATGCGCAATTTTGGATCTGCTAGTGGTACAAACTAAGAATGCTTGCCTAAATTCTTTCAGAAAAATATCAGCATAATTTCGATGGGTTACACACTAATTGTTAATTAGAATTTTGGCATAATTTCAGTTATGATGGATTTCAAAACTCATCAGAATTTTGGCAGGCTATTTACTAATAGTTTATTATAATTTTGACAGAATTTCAGTGGTCACTAAGAGATTTCAGCAAGCAACCTTAGTACAAACCAATAAAAATGTGCAAATTTTGATTAATATAGCAAAGCAAGTAATGGTAAATTAAAATTAAAAAATATGAAAAGAGAATGCAAAATCACAAACTAAATATGCAAGTATCAAATAATAATTAAACTGAGATTTTTTATCATTTAAGAAAATTAATATAATTTATTTCAAGTAAAAGTTATAAATATTGAATTAATTAATAATATTATATAATCAAACTAAAATTTTTTTAATTATTACAAGTAAAAGTTATCAATTTTATAAATATTGAATTAATTGATAAATATTATATTTCAAACAATAATCAAACTAATATTTTTTTATTATTTAAGAGAATTAATTTAATCTATTTCAAATAAAAGTTATTAATTTTATAAATAATAAATTAATCAATCAATAAATAAAAGTATAAAACATTAAAAATTAAAAATAATTATATTGTATTTATTATTTATCTAATATATATATTGTGTTTCAAATTACAATCTGTGTCAATTGGCAATTGGAATATATTCAAAATCAAAATCAAAACCAAATAGTCTATCTCTCAGCACTAACCCTAATACTTACTCTAACTCTGATATATTCCTATTCTAATTTGGGCTGATTATGATTTGGGATATAATATATATATAAATTTTTAGTATTTACTCAAAAGAATTAATTATAAACAAATTAACATAGTAAAAATTAGTAAATTTATCAAAATATCTATAGTAATTGATTATTATTATATATATTAATTTTTTAATTATCTTTTATAATATAATATTAGTAAATACCAAAATTATTTTACAAATTTATATTTTAAGAAACTGTTCTAATTATTATGTATAAAATTTATAATTCAAAATTGTATTATAATATAGTATTGGATATCTTATACTTATAGTTGCTATTTAATCTCAAAAAAGAAAATTTTCTTATTTCAAATCCCAAATTTTTTCAAATTAATATTTCAATAATAATTTTAATTTATATATATATAATTATATTTATTTTAAATCTAGCTTTTTTAAAATATAAAAAGATTTTTTGCATCCAAATCCCAAATTAATTTGAATAACAACTATAAACTTATATTGTTTTTCATTATATATTATCAAATATTAATAAAATAATCAGATAACAACTTTATTTATTAATGTGAAATATTTATTATATTCTAAAACATATTAAAATTATTATATAATTATATAGTAATTGATAATTATTCATTAATTTTGAAATTTTAAAGTAATGAAAAGTTGATTTTATTTATAAATGTGTTGGATTTTTGAAAATATCTAATAATACTTATTGTTATTATTCATATACAGTCAAACCTCTATAATTATTCTCTCTATTTTGCTATAGTCACCCTTTTTTCAAGAACAAGCTATAATAAAAGCATATTGCTATAAGCACATCCATTATAATCACATTTATGAAATAAATAACCATTAGATCTAACAGTGTGATGTGACTATAAAGGGGTTGACTGTAATATAAAAAAGATCATGTAACACAATGTTATTTATGAACTTGGAATAAATTGGAAAACAAAAAAAAATCCGAGTTTAAAATTGGAAATAAACCAAAAAACAAAACAACCTGTTTATTTCGTTCTCAAAACTCCTTGCTATGATACAGTAATAATCATACCAATTAGCATTAGCGTTAGAGCTTGTATCACAAATCTTGATTTGAGACATTCTTATAACGAGCCAATTTCCGACTTGCAATATTTTACATTCATTCAACGTGTCAACAAGTTCAAATTTAGGACTTTTGATTCCTTGCTAAATAAAGATTTACAACAAATGCAAGTCTTGTGATATAACGTTTTCCTGTTATATCAAAGTTTTATTTTTTTTATCTCGAAAGAGCTTTCCAATTTCCTCAATTCCGAAACACTCGTATGATATATTTAAATACATTTTTCTATCATGATCAAGCTTCGCTTTAATCATTATTATGTATCCGAATCATATCAAATCAATCATGCCAAAAAAATAATAAGAAACCAAACCTTAAAAATATTCGTTAATACTTTCTTGTTATTCTTATTACATTGATACTTAATAACATTATTATTATTATCAATCAAATCGATCAAAAAAGAAAAAAAGAAACATGAGTCCACATCCACATCAACAACACGACTTTCCCAATTTCATAAATAAAATAAAAGAACAAGTTCCCATCGACATAGAGAATGTCAATATAGAAACGCCCAGTCTTCCGCCTATAGATCTTCCTCCTTTACCAGTGGACGAGAATATGGACTCGGCAAGTAAAATACGAGAAAAAGTGCCCGTGAAACTATTACGTCCGTTACCCAATATCCAAACATACGTGGACGTGGAATTCCATTACACGATACAAGTGACAAAGGATTATTTTGAGTTCCAGAGTGGTCAGCAACCGTCTCAATTACATTTTACCGCGTCCTTTTCGCCGCAAAGTTCGTCGAGGTGGGTTCAATTTGATTCTCCAACGAGAGAGTTTTTGGGGAGACCGTTGGCAGATTCGGCCAGGAATACGACAGTTAATTTGAACATTGAGGATCCCGGTAGAGGCACCGTGGAGACTTCGATACAGATTTTGGTGTCGGATCTTCCTCCGAGATTAAATCACCATAGTGGAATTTCACGAAAACAAATTGTGCTTATCGCAGTAATTCCTTCGTTGATTGGATTTTCTATTTTGGGACTCGTTGGATTTCTTATTTTTAAGAAATTGAACAATAAGCGAGAACATGAGGCTGCATTTAAACGAGCGCTTCAAAATTCTAGATCGATGAATCAATGTAGTAATCAACCATCCGAAACAATAAACAGAACTAATAATAATAACTATATTGACAGCTATACTATTTCAACTATTTCAATAGATAATAATAACGACAACAATTCCAGTACCAGGCATAGCAATAATAATCATAATTATGTTAATATTCAAAGAGGTGTTCATGTTACCAAAACGACAACAACTATGACAACAAATCATCACAAAAGTTTGATTGAACGACGAAGAGAATACATTGACACATACAATAGCGATAGTAACACGGATCGTCAAAGTGAAATCGATTCGATTAGAAGTGATGCAGCCACCAAAAGCAGTCCAAGTTCCTCGTATTCTGAAGGATATAAACAACGTGAATACACCGATCACAGTATCGGACGTTCAATAATAACTCGATCTGCTACACTTCATTTACCGAATGATGTCATTACAACAATGGGCGGTGGTAGTAATCATTATCATAGTGATCAGTCTGAGTCGTCATCGTATAGCTCGATTCCTGAAGAAGAGAAACAAAATGCATTGACAAAAGATATACTGGAGGAATTATTCCCAAAAACATCAAACCAAACTTACAATGAAGATCTCGATCTTAAACATTCTTCACCAAAGAAATCTAACGCTAATAAATCATCAATGCAATTAATAAAAACTTGTCATCCTCCCGCGGAAAGCATACCTATGATAAAAGCCGAAATTGGTGTACCATTCCAATACTGCGTAGCATTTCCAAAAACCACCGTCACGCGTACGCGAAAAGAATATATCGCAGTCACAGCTCCGAATAACGAGCAATTACCGCCGTGGCTTCATTTCAAGAAACTCGAGATTTCCGTCTGGGGAATACCAACAATAGATAATACAGGCAGCACGCATGTACGAATTTACGAGTATTGTGATGACGAAGAGAATGGTGGTCAGTCATCTGACGCGAAGATGGCCGGTGGATTGGGAATAAAGTGGCCGAGAGAATTCTATGAAGAGGATTGGAAGTTACTTGATGAGTTTATTGTTATGGTTCAAGATGAAGATGAGGTGGAAGAAGATAGTCAGAGCGGATAAATTATATAATTAAATAATAGTGTAATAATAGAAAATTATGTGCCCATTTTACTTTTAATAACACGCACGTGAATAGATAGAACATAATACTAAAGTAATAAAAGTATTTAGCTCTATATTTAATTAGTATTTACATGTAAATTATAATCGATTCTATTTATTTAAGTTGGATTTTTAAATTATCTCTTAAGAAATAAGGAGTTAATTGTTCTTTTCTGAAATTTATGTCGTCCTTGCGAACTTATAATTGAAAACGATTCTATTTATTGGAAATTTATTTGTGCTCTAATACATGTTTAATAAGCAAGAAAATAACAGAAAGAAATAATTTACATATATTACATCATCATCAACGCTAAAAATTAGGTGTAGAGGTCACTATCGCTATTTTCGTTTTTCAATAATGAACATTGCTATAATTACTATACATCCAGCAACCCATCTGAAATTTACAATCTCTTTAAATTCATCCTTAAGCTCATCAATAATCTTGACATACTTTTCTGATTTCTTTTCATTCTTCTTTAGTGGTAACTCAACATCACTTATTTCTGAATCTTCTAATTTTTCGTTTTCTGCGCAAACATCCTGCTCACATGAATCCTCTTCAAATACCCATGCTTGGTTCCTAAGTGTTCCTGCGATGCCACATAATCGTGAAATAGTAACATTACAAAGAGTTCCATGATCATCAACTGGTATCTGAATCATCTCTGTTGTTAGTCGTCGCGAAGGATCTTTGAATGGCGTCAAACAGTAATCATCTTGATCTTTCCAAACATTAATCAGAGCTCTTTTCCATATAAAGCTTTCTTTCTCGACTACAAGTGGGGATGGTACTATTTCACCCATGTATAAATCGTATTCTAATGCTAGATTTTGTGTTGTGTTGACTATATAGAAGCCATTAGAATATCCTGGCATTGTGCATGGTATAAAAGACCATTTTTGTGGAGCATTGTTTCCTAGGGTTACAGTTAATTTTGAAAAATTTATTGTGAGATGAGATTTTTGTGGTCTAAAAGGTGAAGAATGGCTTGTTTCGAATGATTGATAAAGTTCGCCTATCGCTATTCTTTTTATTGGCATTTTGTTTGGTGAAAATTGTCAAAAGAAATAATTTCTGGAATATGCGCTTGTGTATTTACAATTTTTTTTAAAATCAGTCTTACATAGAAACCGTTATCAGAAAAACATCAGCTCTTTATATATTGGAAAGATTCATCTTTTGAACAATAAATAAATTGATGCTTTATCTCAGAAAATTAAAACGCGCGAGTGCTTGATTTTCACTTCATGAAACATACGTACACTCCACTTTCTTTATTATGTTAATTAATTTGTCATTCTACTATTTGATACTGATACACAAATAAATAAAGTTGAAGCACATGGACTAAAATTTCCGATCAGACAAAAGCATATCTGATATGTCTTTGTTTTATTCACTTTTTTGTTTTGTATTAAATAAAATCATTTCTTGTACATGTATAACGATAACAAAAGCATTTTGCTATTTTTGTAATTTTCCTGATCTTAGCGATTGATACTAACATGGATCATATTATCATATAACTTTTAAATTATAAATAAATATCATTAAACTCTAAAAACTATAACAATAACTTATAATAAAATAATAGAATAACTTACTGTAAAACCCTCTGTATAGTACCCTCCCCTTGTAAAATACTTTCCGGTTTATGCACGGATATTTTTATGGTGCGTATTTTTATTTATAGATTTGTATCACTTAAATTAACAATG